TTTTTAAAAAAATGTTTGGTATCATTATGGATATTTAAAAGGGTGGTATTAATCAAGTTTAGCCGTTTGATATTGTTGAAGTGACAACTTTAAATTTCAGAAGTTGAGAACCCATCTTATTAAAGGACCTGTTGTCATAAAATTTAGTGAAAGGAAACTAAAAGCATTCAAAACGAAATATAATAAATTAAATGAAAGAAAACCAAGGCTGCAAGGCGTCACATTGCTTTTTTCTGAAAGTTCATTCAGCCTTCAGGTATAATGATTGCAAATACAGTTACAATACAACAATTAGCTCAAGGCACCGTTTAGTTTTTGAAGTAATATATGGCAGTTAAGAACACGTATTATTTTGTATTTTCAACATGCACTGCAAGGCGGTTTGCACTGCCTTGAACCCACCTCCCACCCACCTTGCATGGTGTACGCAACAGCACCAACCCCCCTCCCCCTTCATGTAAACATACTTTACAGACGGCCCCTTGTTGGAAGTTCGGAGCCTCCCAGGGAACCAATTTGAAAAAAACATATTAAGACTGACAAAATTATTTTTAAAACTGATTTTATTGGAATCAATCCACAGCAAAATTTATGTTATGTTCCGTTTCCTATATTTCAGTATGGTGTGAACTGTTGAATTACTAGAGAGATTTTTACTATCAGTCACACCAACAAACAGTGTCACATATGCCATACTGCTAGAAGTTCAGGACCTTTCTACAGATGTTGACTTCTAAAGTAGAAAAAAGCATGAGGTTTCCTGATTCTATTGTGTACTTTGTCATGTGTGTCATATAAAATGTGTTCACTGTGAGAAATGTGTACATGGTTTGATGATAAACACTAATAATGCCTTTATCTCTGTCGAATTAGGTTCACACTACTGCATCATCCAAATCCATCATGATTTCTGACACAAATCCTATGGATTTGGATAAAATCAACAATTGTAAATTTCTACGTACGAGAACGAATAGGCTTTGTAGTTGTTTCAACCTCAGAACCACCAGGGGGACCTGATCACAAAAAGACAAAAGACATTCTCAGTAGTAGTCTGATTGTAAATTAATAATTTTAAAGAACAGTTTTTAATATTGTTTCGCTCACCCTCTGGAACCCTCCAAACAAGATTAACGTAGAAGCCATGTAATGTCAATTCACAGATCACTTCCCATTCAAAACTATTACCTCGTTTGGGATGTGTAGTTGAAAATTCTGATGATGTTGTTCTCAAAGTGGTTATTTCAGTGGTGGTGATGACAGTTGTGGTGACAGTGCTGCTTCTTGTTGTTGGCTGAGTTGCAGAA